GTTCTGCTTCACCGACTCCCTTCAAACCATGCATATAGTGGCGGTACTTCTTGTCACTTTTCTATTCCCACCTCTGCAATATTTCAAAATGGAACCATTGTTAATGGTAATAAACGAGGTGTCTGCCCATAGCAAGTGAACTAACCATGAGCATCGGATGTTTTATTACACGTGTTGAAATCAAACGTTGGATAATGTGAATTGGTTGTAATCTTTCAGAAGTTCAGAAGTTCATTAATATGATGCTGAGCTTCTACTGTAAGCCAGAGAACAATTCAGAGAGGAGCTCGCGTCACTGCATATTCAGTGCGTCAAGAATCTTTCGCGCTACACCTTACCTGTCCTAGGCAGAAAATTCATCACAGCTAGCGCATAAGTGAATGCATTTTAATATTACTGGCTATCAATGGTCGTTTGCCTTACCGCAGCCGTTTGGTAAAGAGAATGAAAAATTGGCATTACCCAGTGATTTCGTTATTTCCTCCACAATTTTCGCATCGACAATTTCGGGAATAGCCTCTTTCATTTGATCGACTTTATCCCTGAATCGATCTCCTCCGAACTGGCACAACTTCTCGATGAATTGGCCTGGTGCCTTAACACGATGAACGAAAATAGGGTGCCTTAATCTGATAAGGTGATAAAAACCCAAGTATACAGAATCTTGAAAATCCACAAAAAACTCACAAAAACGAAACAGATTTCTGGTGTTTACCTCTGTTTTGAGTAATGTGGTGAAGAACTTGCCATATGGGTGTGTTTGAAAATGTGATTTCTCCTCATCAGTAAATCTCACGCCAACTGCTTGGAGCTTTCGCAAGAGCCTTCATGACCTTAAGAGTTCTGCGTTCAAATGTAATCTATATCGTATAGGCTTTTTCCTTTCCATTTGGCACCAAATTCTTCACAAAATTTCTTAACAGCAGATGCAGGTGTTCTAGACATATTCCATCATTGACACTGGTACACAAAGCTAGAGGTTGCGTCTATGAACCTCACATACGTGTACGGGTACTTCGGTTAATCCACACCTTCGTCCGCAAGCTCCGCCCCTGCTGTCAGCTGCCACGTGACGCTGCGAGAAAAGCGTGAGTTGCAGCAGCGGTTGCATTGCGGTTCAATGTCACTGGCACTGGAGCAACTGGAGCTAGGTCGTGAAACTCGTCCAACACGCCTCTTCTCTATTCCAAGGTGGAATGCGGCTGAAATAGAAGAGGCCCTCATTAGGGCGTAATCGGAGATTTCCTTGGCATTTTTCTTTCCTAAACCGCTCCCTGCCTCCAGCTTCATTTTCAGCGCTCCTGCGTACCTACTTTATCTCGGGGCATCCCTTCGAGCCTTCACTGATCCGTGTCTCTTTTCACCTAGACCTTGTAAACTGTATTCAGGATGATTGATACGGACTACAGCTAAATGAGTGCAGTGGGAAATCGTAGTTCTGCTTATAAGGAGATGATACCAGAAAAGCTTCAAGCAGCATCAAGAGCGTAGTCACCGCCAGTTACACTAACTATATGAAAATGCAGAAGTGAATAGTAAGTAAAAAGGTAATATGTAGAACTTCGGAACCTTTGCCATGTGTTCTGGCGTGACATTGTTGAGAAGGTGAAGTACTGTGCCGTCGGCGATGTACTCCATTATCAAGTGACCATTTATCGTGTTTCCTTCTATAAACTCCCGAGTGAAGTAGACCTGGAAGATCGAACATGATCTTCTCTAGAGATTATCAAAGGAATTGGGTAGTGTTTTAAAAGTCCTAAATTCCGGATAAAAAAGGGAATGAGTGCATATCTACACATTTTCATACCTTTGGTGTTGGAATGTCTGTGACCTCATACTTCCTCAACAATTCGTAAAACCGAACCTCTGTGTTATGATTCTGAAACAGCGTCATTTCAGAAGTATTATCCTCATCTAACAGCCTTCTAATGGATAAATTGTTCTTGACTTCTCCAGTGCAGCGCTAAACTTCCGTTCCCTCTATGACAGCACACAAACTCAAGAATTACTGCTGCATTACACGAAGGGCGACATAACCGAATAAGAGCTCTTATAAATCAAAAAATTCAGCAATTGCGTGCTGTTTCAGTAATATGCGCACATCCTTTGTCTGTTCTGCCCATTTGATTCTTGAGTAGTTCTGGAGAGATGGCTAGGGACTAGTTTTTACACAGAAAGTTTCCTTTACATACTCTTGGAAGCCACAACATCAACCACTTGACAATATGTCCACTTCTAAAAACGACGATCCTTATAGGACCGATACTCAACACTGCTCTCTGAGTGATGGTTCACCTATAATTTCACTTGTTCATTATTGACATGGCACGTGTGATTTAGAGAAGCGTTAGATGTCAAAGTTGACGGTGAGAAATAAATCTGTGAAACTTCCGATATATAAGTAGACTAAGCGGCTTACGGGAATTCCCTCACCCGCTTAATTGGCTTCAGCTGTTTGAAGAGCTCTTCATTGGAAACCGTGTTGTTCCTGCTGAGTTTTCGTATTTTCCCTGATAGTCAGCAGCGAGCAAATCTGAGAAAACAGCCTTTAGCGGTAACATGTAACCAGTTGAAGGAAGAAAATAAAGCGAACTTTGAACTATTCTTTGGCACGTCCTTGAACTCTGTTTGCCAATCAGGTGAGATCAAACATATTTTTGACAAGACTCCCTGAATAGTTTTTTTATTAGTCTTCTCATTTTTCAGAAAACAGCACTGGAGCTCGCATTTTATTGGTTACACAATTTTCAGGTATGCTTCTACAACCACTGTTGTAAGAGTGGATCAAAGGTACGGTTTGTGCTAGGCAATGGATAGTTGCCAATTCGTAACCGTATCACATTGAAAGTCGCTTTCAGAACGGTGGGTGGCAAGGAGTGCAGTAGTTTGTGCAGTTCATGGAACGAAGAGCGATTGAATTTTTTAGGGTCAAATATAGTTACTAATATTTTTACACGACCATGAGAGAATCATGAAGCACCTTAGATTACCCTAAAACAATCGGTCAGGATCAAGAGTCCTGTTTACTCTTTCTTGGAGGTCTTCGAAATGGGTCGCTGCCATCTGCTGTTAAGAAACCCTCTAGCTCACAAACTGGAGTTGTTGCACGGGAATCACGTTCACCTGGATTTTTGGGCATGGCAAATCTAAAAAGCAAAGCTTTGCGATCCCGTTAGTTTCCTTTGTTCACGATGTTCAAGATGGGGTTTGGTTAAGGGCTGTGGGCAGATGGGAAACCTTTCCAGATGCTGCATCTGGCATAACTAAGGCATCTAAGGATTCCACATGAAATGAATCCAGAGAAAAAACACCCGCCGTGACAAGTACAGTAATCGGTAGAGTAATAAGTAGAGTTATTTCATTTCGAAGCTAAGGTCGCACACTCTTATAGAGAGATTCTTGATCCTTTGTGTCACAAGCTAGCAAGAAATCAGTGCAAGATTTCTGAAGCTCTTGCACAGCTAAAGCTCCCAAGTACATATAACATCCAGTGGGTTGAAGAAGACATGCTTGTGAAAAGAACCGCAATTTTTTTATTCCTCAGGGACGCTGTTTAGCCCAACTATTTTTAAAAACGTAATCAACCAGTCGCATCCTATCCGTATAATTTCAAAAACCTCCTAAAAGCAGTCTCATTATTCTAGAAAAATTCCTGCAATTAAGAGTTGAGAGGCATTGGGGAGCCGTCACCTAAAACGATCCGGTAGATCAAAGCTTCGCCTCCCACGGAGCTTTGCCAGATTGCAGCAATTATTTTAAGATAATGAAGCAAGTTTTAGTGAAATGCTGAAAAGTTCAAGACAAACACTCGGAGCCTTCTACAGAAAATTTCTCAAGTTGCTAGATTGTGCTACTCCGAGAAAAAAGTGAAGGCTACCTCAGTGGGCATACAGTAGGGTGCCGTCGCTTTACACGATCCATTAGATCAAATTGTGCCTTTGGCAAAACTCAAATGTTGTGAATTATTCTAATAAAACGAGGTACTTTTTAGGGGACTGCTAGAGCTTTTTGATGTCAGCGCTTAGAGCTACCTACTGTCAATTTTGCAAAACTTCCAAGGAGACTGCGATTTAACTTTCGGAAGAAGGGTACATAGTTCAGCCGGTGGGGATCGCCGTTGGCCCCACTCAAGGTGACTTAGCGAAGTCTATTTTTTTGGTAGTATTGGAAGGGATGTACGAATATATGCTCTTTATCTTCAATTGGGAATCTCGAATATCATCATTTTTAGAAAACATGCTAGTGAACTCTAGCTTTGGGGGGGGGAGCACTTCATGTGTGACGTTCTCCTGTACTAAGTATAAGGGTAAGCTGTGGTCTGACACGTTATCGGATTAAATTCAAATTATTCGATTAGGGACTGGGTAAGAATGGAAGCCGTTAGCTCTGGTGCTTCCAGATTACGGCCTGCTGTGGCACAAGGTTGCGGTCGCGAATTAGGGTATGAACATCCTTTCCTAACTGCAAGGGTGTGGTAGCCCAGGGTGGACGATCACATACCATTAATTGTCTAGATGTAAGCCGGTTGTGCGTGATGACGGGCGGATGCCCAGATCCTTGGTCGAAAGGTGCACTTTGAATTGGTGTTTACCTGTGGTACTAACCATACAGCCATTAAGTCTTTTATAGACGTGGAAGCAACCCCAATGTGGTTGGACTCGGGCTGTGGTGAGGCATGCCAGGTCCTGTTGCAAAAACGAGCACGTCGAAGCTCTGACGTCTGATCCGAGATGCGATCTTTATTGAGACCAGGTCACAAGAAAACCATCTCAGCACCACAGACACAACTTGAAAATGGACTCACATTCCCAATACCAATTTCTCTGACGTCCTTGTTCGGCCCAAATATCGCTTTGTCTCCAAACGCCATGAAGACGCTCTTTTGGAGTGTCATCCCATAGTGGTGAGGCTTCTGAGAATATCCATCACCAGGTGTGATAGAGACTTGCCACCAGTGATGGGAATTATCCTGTAAGGTCGCACTTCTAATGTAGCTTTGTTATATTTGCTCCTCCAAGCGGTCGCATATCTGTACAAATTCAGCAGGGTCAACCGTCTAGTGGAAGCCAAAGATTCACGATGAGGTGTGGCGGGAGGGAGTCGTATTCTGGCGGGTGGGAAGGGCGGGACGTTATTTCGCGAACGTAGCCGTCATGTTAACAGTAAGGGAGGTATGGGATTTTATGGAACAGAGAGTGGCAGTAATGTATGGCTGGCGCTTTTGGGTTGAAGGGCGAAAATTTTTGCCATTCACATACCGATTATATGCCCCGCTGCAAGGGCATTTGGAGGGAAAGGGGTTGGGCTGTGTCGAGCAGGTGGAGGGATGGGTCGCGAAGGGTTAAGCCGGGAAGGGGGGGGTATCGGGGGATTGTAATTTCTACGAAAATGTGGGGTCCAAGTGACAGTTGACCTGAATGCAAGGCATCTTTGTAAGATGTTTTTTTGCATAGTGATATCATTAGTGGGGAGCTCTTGAATCACCAGAGATTCTCGAGAGTTTCTTCGAGAGAGGACGTTTGAGAATGTAACAGTAACTACTCTTCGATCATACCATTGTTTTTTACTTGAATTTTTTTCCTGTGGCTACGAAGCATCAAGAAATTTTTAGGTGGCGGCGTTGAAGTGGGTGCGATCATCTTAGGGGCTGAATCAGTTCACATTGCAAAGCAGAAGGCAACTAATCGAAGCGTGGCATAGGCCTCGGCGAGCATGAAAAGCAATTGACTTCATGAACTCATCTGGCACGACGGTCAGTGCGCATATCATTGGAATAAAATCACCAGCAAAATGGTGCGGGTCCAGATGTCCCCTTTAACGTCTCCGCTAAACAGTTCCCGTCACGTTGCATCTAGTAAGCGCTGCTCATCCAAGCCAAGGCGGCATGTTGTGAATGAGGAACGATCCTGAGACCACAAAGGAATCTAACTCTGAGAGTTCGCCTGCGCGCAGCTGCTACAATTCTTCGAGAAAAAGTCGGGTCTCCCCATGAGGAATGGCGAATCTTGACACAGTAAGGTAGTATTCATCTCTTTTTCTGAGGTGCCGAAATATTGGTGTCCTGCACTATGAGCAAAATATCTTTGTTCAAATGCCCTCCCCCCCCCCTCACATAATGGAATCTCCATCGTATGGCCTTACCTTTTGATCTTTTTTACTTTTTAAAGGCTTGAAGATGGATCGAAGCTGTGATTTGTTCACTAATCGATCAACCGCGCTTTTGGCCTTTTTGACGTCATTCCAGAATACTACTGAACAATTCAGTAACGCAAGTTCATCTCTACCGCTGTGTACTAGATCGCGCACTGTGTTATTTTGAACGTTAGTGGATTAAATGAGCCTCAATGAGAATAAAGTTGGTCAGTAAGAGCATTTGGTGAAGGTGGTAGAGGTGCGGAGCGGACTGAAAGTGATAAAGGAAGCCAAAGAAACTATCGAAGCACTGAAGTTACGGCTTTGACCTTTTATAAGCACGACGGCAGTACAGCAGAGGAGGCGCGTAGAGAAGAAAGAATGCTCAAAAGAGTACGGTGTTTGGGAGAGCTCTGGAGGGCCGTTGCAAGTGATAGGAGACCACTCAGCACCACTATCAGGGAGCATTGGGAAGCAGGGTAAAGATCGTGTCGAGGACATGGTCACATCAGTACGACCCCCCCCCCTCAGATCGGGGTCTTGATAAGACCCCTCTAACTTCGTGTTGGTGTGTTCGTTATTGCTATTGATCTATTTCGACTTCTACTCAATATTCCGATGCTGGTTTGACCTTCCAAAATGTCCTGGCTAACGGTCGATATGCACTCTTTGACATA